GTACAGTAGTTCCAGTCCAGTGATGTTAAACCAGTGCAGTTACACAGTACAGTAGTTCCAGTCCAGTGATGTTAAACTAGTGTGGTTACACAGTGCATTCAAATTGTTTTGATCTAAATTGTTTTAGATCTTCCAGGGCATTTTTGTGATGAGGACTGAATGAGGCCTCCAGAAAGGATAGTCCTTCGGCATTGCCCGGAGTTTAGGAAGAGCGTCGTAGTTTATTTTTTCTGCAGTGGAGTAAGCACCTCAGGTCACCTTGTGCCCCTAGACCCTGGTGCGCCTCATCGGGCTGTTGTGTTGGTGCTGAGGAAAAGGTGGACCTGTGCGTGACGGGGCAGCGGCGCCACGTTTTCAGCCGCGAGATCGAAGCCGTGGCTGAATTTGGGGTGGGAGAGAGAGAGGGGGGGGTCTGCTGCTGGTGGGATTATTGCTCACGCTGTGGTGCCCAGTATTGGTAGGATGGGGGAGCAGTCCTCTATTTCAGCGTCCCTGCTTCATGGCTTTTCTGTATTATCGCTCTTCCTCAGGGGGCTGCAGACTGATCCGGATGCACGCCATCCCCGCTCCAAAGCAGACGGACAGATGGACAGAGAAACGGAGCATGTTCGGTGTCTATGACAACATCGGGATCCTTGGTAAGTGAGGATGGGAGGGAATACTGTCCCTCTTTCTGAGCAGACTGCGTTTTCACAGACAGTCTGCATTATCTGTCTGTAATGTGCATGTGCCATTCCTTCTGGATTTCAGTTTGCAACAGATTCTCCTAAATCAGTAGTTCCTAACCCCAGTCTTGGACGGACACTGTGTCTTTCCTTCCAGAGGAGTTCTAGATCCGCAGTGCTAATTGAAGACTTCATTGATTTGCTTGCTTGTTGAGTCTTTCATTAATGGTGGCAGTTCTGAAATTGAAAAATCAGTACAGGGTTGATACGAAGTGAAAATGTCATCCTTTGCTGTAAGAGCTGCAAGCAAATTTATAGATATGCCTCAGAAAGAAAGCTGAAGTCAGCTTGTGATGAAGACTTTAGCTGAAGAGCAAAAAGGGAAGACAAGCACACAGTGTTTCTCCAAGACTGTGGTTAGTCAAGTTGACTTGAAGATCAACAGACGCACTACCTTAAAACATCTTATTTCTCTCCTGATAGAATTTAAAAAAAAAGGTTTCACTGGTGGGTATAATTTATTAGTTGTTATCGTGCGTACAGAGAAAAACAGAGTAATCTTCTTTGAAACACACACAAAACTCTTTTAGACTGTGTCAGACTCTGTAGGGTGCTCATGAGATCCTGTCCCGCAGTGTTTTTGCCTGCTCTGCTTTGTGCTTGGTGTTCTGCTGCAGCTTTACCATCTGTAGTTAAGGCTGTATTAATGGGCTGATGAGAACTGCATTATAATATAAATGAAATATACGTACATATTGTTCCGGTTTCCTTGTTAGTTGGGTGAGTTTTTTATTCTGTCTTCCTGGATTTTGCAGGAGCATTAGGTATATTTCCCCTAAATTATGTAATTCCTGAAATTTCTTTATACTCTCCAGTTCCATTTTTCCACATCCTGCTGTGTCTGTGACTTTCTCTTTCTTCCTCCCTCATCTAGCTAATGAAACTGGCAGTTTAGGAACATAAGAAAGGTTGCAAATGAAAATAGGCCCATTGGGTCATCTGGCCTGTTTGATCGTTAATAGCTCATCCATCTGAGAATCTCTTCCAGGCAAGGCCTCAACTTCAACCACATGGCTCTGCAGCTTGTTCCACACTTCCACTACCCTTTGTGTAAAAAAAAAATGCTTCTTGTTTTCACTTTCAAAAGCATTTCTGCTTAGTTTGCCCTTGTGGTCTGGATAATTAGCGTATTATATGTTTAATTCAATCATGTTGAACAGATCCTTCGAGCTCTTCAGGTGCTGGTGTGTTAAAAAAAACCTGCAGACAGGTCTCTCCAGGACCAGAATAGTGGACCGGTGCTTTAAACGATGCTCTGGATTACAGGTACAACTTGCTGCTGGAGCCTAGAGAAAAGTGCAGGCATTAAATCCATTCAGCTAATCATGTAATGGGACTAATTAATGTGCTGTGTATTTGGATGGCTTAAACGCCAAGCTCTGCAGGAATCAGGGCTGGGAAAAAATGCTACCAGAGCAGTTCAGTCCTGGTCCCAGTGAGGTTTTCTCTAGTTTTTAGAGTCTTGGGAGGCACTTGGAGAGCTGGGAGAAGCTGTTAAATTGCTCCGATGAGGCCCATAAAAAGCTGGTTTGGGCCTTTATGGCTCTGTAGCTCAGGATCTGCGCCTGTGGCTGGAAGGTTGCTGGTTCAAATCCCACGGCCGGCAGAGGAATCCTATTCCGTTGGGCCCCTGAGCGAGGCCCTTAACCCGAGCTGCTCCAGGGGCATATATATAAATATATATATATAAATGGCTGACCCTGCTCTCTGACCCCCAGCTTCTCTCTTCCTGTCTGTGTGTCTCATGGAGAGCAAGCTGGGGTATGAGAAAAGACTAATTCCTAATGCAAGAAATCGTATGTGGCCAATAAAGTGATCTGATCTTATGAGCTGGAGGAGAGACATGTGGCATTAGTCTCAAGGCAAGGTGTCAAGGCATGTTTCTCATGAGTGCGGTCGTTTGGTCGATCTTGTTGCCTAGGCGACTTCAAGGCCCACCCCAAGGACCTGATTGTGGCTCCCCGTTGGCTGAAGGGTTTCCGCGGCAACGAGCTGCAGCGCTGCCTGCGGAAGAGGAAGATGGTGGGCGAACGGATGTTCGCGGACGACCGCCACAGCCTGGACAAGCGGATCAAGTTCCTGTACCGCAGATTCAATCGCTACGGCAAACATCGATAGCCCGCCGGCAATCAATAAACGTCCTGTTCTGTGTTCCACTTCTGTCCTGTCTTTTTCTCGGAATGCGGTGGCGTCGTGGTGTGACAGCGCTCGCCGCTCATGGGTGGAGTCCTGGCTGGGCTGGGGGTGGGGGGAGTTTGTATGTTATCCGTGTCAGAGTGGGTTTCCTCTGGGTATTGTGCTTTCCTCCCACCTTTGGATGCCATATGGTTTAGGTTACCAGTTGTCCCCGAGTTGTGCCTGTGCATAGGTGTGCCCTGCGATGAACACAGTCAGATGATGGCACATAGCATTGATCCTACACTGACTGGCACACAGGATTACTACTGACCAGCACACAGTAATGATGGGGCACTAAGTGGCACACTGTCCAGCATGCAGTGGTAATGGCACACTGACCAATATGCAGTAATGACAGGACACTGATTCACACAGTAATGATGAGATGCTGACTGGCCCAGTGTTATTGTCCTAATAGTCCTGACCCCCCCCCGCCAGCTCTGCCCCTGACTGACAGACTTTGTCGCCATTGGCTGCCAGCTGGTGGGAGTGGGAGACTGCTAGATGGATGGACAGGGGCAGTACAGAGGGACTGGAAGTGAAGGGTGAGTCAGAGGGGTTTGGGTGGAGGCAGAGGGGGGTCAGAGAGGACACGGGGGTGGAGGGCAGTTATCTGGAGTACGGTCAGGCGAGGTGGGCGGGTGAGGGGGTCGTGTGTTGTAATGACAGTGAAATAGACGGGGGCGCAGACAGACGAGGGGAGCAGCACATTTGATGTCTGCCTGAGAAAACCCGTCGAAGAGGGGCGGGAAAAAAAAAGAGCGGAGTCGACAATCTTGGAGCCGGCTTGCACACTGCAGTGCCTCTCCTGCGTCCTCCTGTTGGAGAGAGAGAGAGAGAGCGCTGCAGTACTGCGAAAAACGGAGAGAGGGAGGGGAGGGGAGATAGGTACCGCACCGTCGCCTTTCCATGCGGTCCGAGAATACAGAGAGGGAGAGACTGGCGCAAGACTGCGGTACAGTTCCAGCAGAGAGAGAGACACTGACTTCGAGAGGCGCTGCATCAACCCCCAGAGACGGTAGACAGGACAGAGGAGAAAAGGGTGGCTGGGGTGCTGCTTTTTTTTTATAACCTTTTGTTGATTTGCATGGGAAAACGCCAAAAAAAAGGCGATTTCAAACGGTTCAGCGGCTGAAAACTACTGGATTTTTAAAGCACTGCCAATTCTAGCATTTGAATTGGCAGGAGAGAAAGGGATCTATACCATTTTTCAGCTGACTTCGACTTGACTTTCCCGTTGTTGTTTTTTTTTTTTTGCTGCACATCAGTCAGGCATCCGCTTTAACGGGGAGGCTGTCTGTCTTTCCGAACAGGTGACAGCCGGAGGCGCCTGCGCGTGTCGCGTCAGAAGGAGAGGAGACGCTGAAGTCCAGCCGGCGGCTCCACTGCGGCTCCGTGGCCGACGCGACTCCCATCGCTCATTTCGAAAGCTGCAGTCACAGCAGATTCCGCGCCCCCCAATCCCTCTCCCTCGCCAAGCATTCAATCCCCCCTATCCCCCCGCCCCCCAAACCACCAACACCCCCTCCTCATCATCACCACCACCACCACTTCATCCCCTCCAGAATCTGGACGTTTTCTTTCTCCCACTCTGCCTCTTAAACTTCGTGTCTTCGAGCTTGCACTGAGCCATCCGACAGACGGATCTCAAACGCGATGTAAGTACACTGCTGTCTTGCTTATTTAAAAAAAAAACATAAAACGTTTTAATTAGAATATTTCCCTTTTCCAAACTCCGAGAGGTGAACGGATCGATTAATGGAAATCAGTTAATGATAATACACACTGTATACTTGCAGTGAACTGTCTATGTCCAGCATGTATATGTTACTGAGTCTGTCATCGGCCATCAGTAGACATCAATAGGTGTATGTACAACGCTCCTGTGTACTGAAATTATTAGGTCTGTAACAGTATGTGGCAAACAGATGATAGGGATTTGGGGAGATTCCTGCGGGGATGGAGTAGTGTAGGGGTGGACCATGTGACCCAGGCTCTCTGGACCAGACTGTTTCAGGACAGCAATTGAGAGGTCACCTTTCGGTTCAGAAATCCGTGTCACGAAAGCCCACATGTTCTGAAGGAATAGCTTGAGAAATGTCAGCTGGGGGGGCCGGGCTGTGTGAGTCCTGTCAGCACGCACTGGACAGATTGGCAACTCCACGGTCCGATTTCTCCCCCGATAACCTTGTGTTTTGTGTGTGTGTGTGTGGAAGAGCTATCCACATGCCTTTTTGAAGAAAGTCTAACCCCCTTCCTCAAAAAAAAAGAAAAGTCAGCCATTTTGGTGCAAAAGTTGAGTTGAGACGGACCCAGGGCTGTCGCTGCTTTCAAAGGGGGGTGGGGGTGGGAGCCCTGCGGTCGATTTAAAGGAAACCAGGACCTTCAGGTCTTACACACCCACCATTAAAGGAGCAGCAGCTCATATTGTTGACCGTGCTACTTTGTGACACCTAGATACAGCTTTACAGTTTACAAAAACAGAGAGATTTAGAGGAACTGGACTCATCCTCTGCAGAAGTACTGTAACTGTGGAAAGGCCTTACTGGAAGATGTGGGAGAATTGCCACTTGTGAACTGGTTACTCCTCAAGGACAGGTGGGACAGAGCAGGGAACGCTGCACTCTCTTGTGTGGAAGCACACAGATTTGAGATTTGCCCTACAAGTGACTACAGTGCTCACTGCTAGCAGTATTCCTATAGATGTTGTTAATAATCCCAGTATGAGGGATAGCAGTGACAGCAGAGGATATAGCAGAAGAAGCAGCAGCAGTGCTTTCAATGGTCTGATTGGAAAGGATGCATGAAATCACTGTGCTGCTGAGTGAAGTTTTGAAAT